CTTCCTTATTCCCCCGGCGTCTGCGAACATATTTGTAAAAGCTTGACCAATTATTTCGTCCCGTCTCCCATTTGACTCATTACGAGACGTAAAATTTAAAATCGCAAACAACCAAACATAACATGGTAAGGGAAACGAGCATGGTGACTTGCTTTGTATGAGTATGTGGGAAGATGGGACATAAGGCGAACGATTGCTGGCACAGAAAAGGCTGAGCAATTTATAAACACGATATATACTCTCTGAACACGATTGTAAGCGAGGGAATATTAACGAAACGAGGGCTAATACAAATAAGGAATATTCAGGAAGCAAGAACCAATTCAATGACAAGGGAAGACGTTACATTTCTGATTATGGCGGGAAACATAATCTGAACATCAAAAGGGAGTTTGCGAAGAAAGATGAAATGAAAAGGTACGCGGAAAACGAAAAGGAAATACCGTGGCTACTAGACTCGGGATGTAGTGTAAAAATGTTGAAGGGATGATACACTTACGATATTTTCCCTAATCTAACTTGCGTTCGCATACTTATGTCCGTTTCTATTCAATCCCCAAAACTGTATGATGTTAACATTATTTATATGATTCAATTATTCTAATAATGATGATAATCATATTAAGCAAGTCTATCCCCTTCCTACATTCGTTGTGTCATAATATAGTATGACACTGTCCACCACGAGTCCCAGCTAATTAAAATCTGCAACGTATCAGGTATATATGTGTTCGGCTCGACTGCCAGCAATCGAAATCGGTGACCCTACTTGGCCTGGTCATATTAATTTCTCCTCCTTTACATATCCTACACACATTCCACACGATCGGTTAGTCCAAAAATTAATGAATTCAGGCATCAGTCCCAGGGTGGTGGCGTGGATTAGCGAGTTAGTTTCTGCGAGAGAAAACAGAATTGAGCAAGAGTTACCTTCCGGGGCAAGCGTTACATCAGGAATCGTACCGCAGGGGAGTGTCATTGGACCTCTTCTATTTCTAACTTTCATCAATGATTACCAACTCACATAATCTCAAATGTTCGGCTATTTGCAGACGATTGCATAATATATCGTAGTATGAATTCGAAAGAAAATGAAGAAACGCTGCAACGGGATCTTGATACGTTATACGATTACTGGGCGGAAAATAATTGAATGGCTATAAATAGCTCTAAAAGCAAATCCATCACTTTTGACAGGTGTCATAATTACAGAGAAACAAAATTACCGTTTAAATAACGGCATTATTCCGAGTTTCCTCGTGTAAGTACCTAGGAATCCATTTCGATAATAAATTAAGCTGGCAAAATCACGTAGATTTTGTTATAGGGATAGCCTGGAGATCTCTTCATATTTATCCTTTTATATTTCAGGATTAGAGAACAAAAACAAATATTAATCATCAAAAATCACTTTTATTGTTTTTCAAAATATTCCCCATGAAGATCTATACACTTTTGCATGCGTTAGAACCAATTGTCGAAGCACTTTTGCCACTCTGATTGGGGTATCTCCAAAACATGCACTCTGAATGCAGCAACCGCTTCTTCGGGTGTCGAAAAACGTTGACCTCTCAGTTTGTTTTTTACGTACGGGAATAAGAAGTCATTCGGGGCCAAGTCAGGACTATACGGCGGATGACTCATTAAATCAATGTTGTGGGTGCTCAAAAATGCAGTTGATTGAGCCGATGTGTGAGAGCTCGCACTGTCGTGGTGAAGAGTGATCCGTCTTCGGCGGTTGGTTTTCCTGATTTCTTGGAAGATTTCGTGAATTCACCATCGATAAACACTGGTCCTTGATGGATCTTCATCGCCAAAAATTGAATTAAGTTCATCCATGCATTGTTGCCGAGTTAATCCACGTCGAAAGTTGTAAAACATAATCGTACGCAAATGTTCGCGATTTCATTCCATTTTGGGGCCAAGATGAATGGTTTAAGTTATTGTAAACATCACAAATAGCACTCATATGTCAAAACGTTCTGAGTACGTATAACCTCAAAACATCCAACTTTACGATAGAGCTCAGTTGCCAGTTGCAACACCAGGGTTGCCAAATCCCGAAACATAAAAGTCAGCCTTCGTAATGCGCATCTTAAAAAGAGTACGGCCAATGCGACGGAAATTGCTTTTTTATCGCTTGTTCGACCGATAAAGGAATGTGAAACAGTTTATTGGGATCCTCACAGAATTATGCAGTGTAAACATTTGGAAAGGATTCAGTGTAGGTCAGCTAAATTTACTTTCAGGGAAAAGAAAATGGCAGGATGGGATTAACTCGAAAACTGGCGATCAGTAGCTAGACTCTGAGCTTTGTATAAAGCTTACATCGGTCATCCAGCTTGGAAAGAAATTAATCGGCGGCTAAATAATTCAACATACATCCGTAGAGGGGATCACAGGCACAAAATAAATTTAAGACAGCACAGAACGGATGTCAGGAAATTTTCTTTCACAAATTGACCTATCACGGAATGGAATAGATTGTCTGCAAAGACCTTTGAACCCTTTCCTCGAAGCGTTCAGCAATTTAGAAAATTAATTTAGGGTCTTAATTAGTAAATGAAGGACTTATCTAAGAATAGTAGGTTATATAGCGATGCGTAAGTGTTTTATTGCGAAGTGAGGTGTCGTGCAGAGCAAAGCAGGGCAGAGAAATTAAAAAAAATGAAAAAAAATGCATTATTTAGAAAAGCTGTAGCTCGCTTGATATTCAGTTTCGAAAGAAAATGTTTGATATAAACGTTTGGGAAATTATAATTATCTTTAAACTTAAATTGAATCATTTTTCTACACGACAAAGTTATAGAGAAAACCCCGAAAAGAGTCAGAAATAAATTATGTTTTTTCGGGTCTCTCGGGGTTAGCCCGGGCATATGCTGGGGTCGAAAACTTAGGGGGTTTGAACTAGTGCCGAAATACATACAACATATTCAAAGAAAACGTTTTTCCAGGTTAGTGCCTTTTTTTGGTACCTGCCAACTCGACTAACAGTCCAATCAAAAAATTGAAGGAGTCATTATTTTGGGAATCCTGATCTTTTACCAAAAACTAAAACTCTCCTGTTTTTTCATTTAAATATTTATATTTGTCAAAATTTCACCAATGTAAATTCTTTAGTACCTTCTGGGCTAAGAACACAACAATAATTGTTACCACAATGGTGCATTTCAAATTATAAAGCAATATTAAGCAATTTTTACTACCAAAAATCTTCCTTTCCATTTTTTAGAGAGTCATATAATAATTTCCCAATTTTCCATCACAGAATTCTTATTGTCAAGAAGAACTAAGTGTATTATGTGATTATCTGAAAAGCAACTTTGTACCCTGGTGAATATATAGGCCAAATTTCATAGGTGTGTGTTATTTTTTATATGAAATAAAGTATATAGTAAAGGTAAATAAGATTTACAAAATATTTAGTAATTGAAATTGACTTTTTAAATGAGAGTAATGTATTGTAATTCAAAGAACAAAATGACAAATCTTATACACTGTTATATATAGAGCTGAGAAGTTTATGTAAGCTTTTAGCCACTTAGAGACGGGGAATATGCAAATAAAAAATTGATTAGTATCTACTTCTGCACACTTTATTTTGCATTAAGAGCCCAAAATGCTAAGAGAAATTTATTACTGTTAGGAAGTGTCTCCTATCAGGCAATGTGATTTTGTATGTAGAAAATTATATTTCGACATCACATGATGTTGTGGATGACACTGTTTGTGCCTTATACATTGTGAGGAAGATGAACAGTATTTCCTTTCAACAACTTACCCATTATCTGCTAAGTACTAGATTCTTTCCAAAAATTTCATTTGTTATCTTCCTATTTGCTTCCCCCATCTCATCTGGTACTGACATGAATTTATACCTTGCCTCCTGAATAATTGCAAGTGTATCTACTAAGGTTGTTCTTGAATTCTCTATCTTCTTTATAAACCGATGACAGCAAATATTACTTCGGCAGTGTTGGCTGTCACTAGTCTAAAATTCAATATACTTGAAACATCAAGAAAGTTCATGCTTTCCATTATTAATATTTGTATATGGAAATTCATATATTTGAGATATTTTAGGTTAAAAGTCAAAAAATATGCAAAAACCTTTATTTATATGCCAAAAAGCTCAGAATATGCAAAATATACAATATATGCAAAACGTTTCTTTCCTTATTTTCAATATTTTGCCATAGTGCAGAAGTGCCCTGTGTAGATACTAATCTATTTTTAATTTGCATATTTCCCTTCTCTAAATGGAAAAATATGTAATGTCATTAAAAAACAAACATTTTTGTTACCAAATGCGGCATATCTTAAGAATTTGTGTGCATATTTCATCAACATACACAATTGAAGTTACAGGAAAATATGACCACTAACAAAAAACATGCAATTGCATGAACTTCCCAACTATAGTTACATACAATCATTATTGACAAATGAATATAATAATTATCATCATTGTGTTATGAAACTTTTGTGGGCATTCTGCAATCACTTTTGGGAGTCACAAATTTTATGGACCTAACTTATTTACACAATAACACATAAACTCATCTTATTTCTATTTAATATTCTTAGAGTCTGTATTTAATGCAAAATATGAACAAAGAAATTATTTCATTTTCTTTTGATCCTGCCTTAGGTATTGCCCTTGTAGCCACTTTAAAACATCATCAATTCCAGCACCTGTCATTGCACTAGTCTCTATGACTGTTATTTCTTGTGAAATCTCCTCTTTTAATCGAGACAGTTGGAGCATTAGTAATGCTTCATTTCTCATTTGCCGGTAAGAAACATCCATTTTTGATAAAGCAAGTAGTATCTGTTAATCAATGTAAAGAGTTTAAAAAGATAATGATGGTATCAACAACAAAATAATAATAATAATAATAATAATAATAATAATAATAATAATAATAATAATAATAATAATTTATAGTCCATAAAAAGTGGAAAAACATAAATAAAGCTATGCCATAAATTGTGGTTTTAGAAAATAATAAAATTAAAAATGTATATTCAGTACATTTACTATATCGTAATAATTTGAAAGGCGATATGAGAGGTAAAGGCTGACAACGAAATAGACAAATTTGTATAAACTAAGTGTATAATTAATACCTTTGTTCTCTTCAGGGAAGGTTCTGCCAAAATACTATACAAGAGTACACCAGCCGCAGCGATTTGACACAAATTACTGGTGTCCACGACGTAAACAATTTTATTGATTCCTTGATAGTAGTTTTTCCAAATAGGTGCCATTGCACCTCCTATTTCGCGTATTGTTATTTCCTTTTGATTTTCTAATTTAATTGTCACTAGGTTTGTGCCCACAGTGGGTACCGTATTCGAAGTGAAATCTATTGTCTCTTTGTTTTGCAATTTTTTCAACAAAAGAGTTTTTCCAGATCCTGTTGGACCCAAACACAGACACATGCTTGACGCACGAGCAGTTCAATGCGGTCTTGGGCTTTGTAATTTAACATTTGTGTTTCAAAGGATTGTTGTCATGGTAACAAAGCTAGAACACTGCAGTGTATAATCATCATCATTACGGTTCCCTACTTCCTGCCAGTATTTACCTGGAAACAAATTTTATATCTCCGACAGTGTATTCTTTTTATACTTGTAAATTTGCGGTTGACTATATACTTTCCAATCGCTTCCTATGAACGTCAGTGGAAAACAATACGAGAAAACTTCCTTCTCGGCGTGGAACGAAAAGTCCTCTGATTGCAAAGCGGGATGCGCAATGCATAAAAAGATAACTTGTGCGCATTGGCATTGCCATTGACTATGGAGCAGCTGGGTGAGGTAATCATTCTGTGTACAGGTGAGAAAGTATAGAAAAACCTATCAGTTTGTGGACTTTTGAGGAGAAAGGAAAAATACCCAAAACTTTCCCCAAGAAATAATGAAGGTTCGCGACTGATCGATGTTAGTATTTTCAGCTAAGAATATTAACTTGGTGCGAAATAAATTGGAGTGAATGCCACATCGATCGGGCAGATAGTGGAATGAATCTGGTTGACGTTAATATGGATGACAGTGACATAACCCACTTACTAATCATGTATCGGCAATTTATAATACTTAAATAATTCTTAAGTGTAGACATCCAAAGTGTGAGAAGTTCGTACACTTTCATTACATAAAAGTCATCACATGACTCACTGACGTGTGTGTAGAACACCTGCACTCTACATATATATCGAGTCTTGAGAATTTAAGTTGTGTTTAACAGATTTAGTTATTTACATGGTTACAGTTTTAATAAGCTCTTCCGTTCTTTTGCAGATAACATATTATGGAATGAGTTGACAATAAATTTTTGATTAGTTTCAATACTTAGGTACTTATAAGTTGACAACATGTCAAACATCATACCTCCTATGGTATCATCCACACCACCACCAATGGATGACAATATGGATGATGATGAAGATGATGAGTTTGGGGATTTTGCATCTGCCAACTTGTCATATGTTTCAGGTAACTATTACGAATATTAAGTTCAAATTGTGTTATAAATTAGAGCTGTTCAGTTGTGTACTGTTTTTTTGGTATTTTAATGCTTTATTTTCTCATTCATTTTCATTTCAGATGTTCAGCCGTCCAATTCTGTTGCACATATGTCATGGGAAACTAACAAAATAATATCGTCATCACTTAACACTAATGATGTTCAATCTCAGTTAAGTGAAGAAGCCTGTGAAACAGTATTGAAGTCTGATGACAATTTAACTCCTGTGAAGCACAATGGAACCTGTGGAAGAGATTCGGATCCTACAACTACTGATGATGACGAAGAAGTGGAATGTCCAGTGTTCAATAAGTGTGATCAATCTGACCAAAGTAGAACTGGTAAATGTGATATTATGCGAGTCAGAGAAATCCAGCAAGATAACACTAGCCAGGATTCTGTTGTGTCAGGCACAACAGATTCAGGACTTTGCAGTGCAAGCCAGATAAGTGAGGGTACCTCACCTTTACCTCAAGGTGAAGAGGTGGACAGATTATCTCCAGTTTTAAATTCTACATCCAGGCAACAAGTAGAAATATTTGAAAAGGAGCCGTGTGAAAGTGATAAAACAATAGTAAAGTTGGGAGAAGATTATAAAAGAACGTTTAATGAAGAAAATGCTCTCAAAAATTTTCCTGCTTCGGACATGAATGTTGTTATTTCTAACAATGTTGCAGAAAATGTGAGCAAGTATTTGAGTGGTTCAGAAGCTACAGTTAGTTCTGAAAATGGTGAAGTTGTGTCTTACAGAGCATTACCTGCCTCAGATTTGGGAGAAATTAATGAGAGTGAAACTGTTGGTGTTAGGGACCAAATTGGAACTGCTAGAGAATTGGATAAAAGCATAACAGATGGTAATTTTGATGATTTCTCAGAATTTCAGTCAACTTGTGAAGAAGCTTCAATGCAAACAAACATGCATGTACTTAATATGTCCACAAATAACCTTGAAGAAAGTGATGAGAGTAAAAACAGTGGGCAAGTAAAAAAACATCCTACTGAATTAATATTAGAGGGAGCAGTTGATTTTTCAGTTGCTCCAGAACAAAAAGATGGCAATGATAATGCTGAGCATGACCAACATGAGTTGCTAGATGCTGATGGAGATGAATTTGGAGATTTTGAAAAATCTTCTGTATCACATGGAAAGAAATATCACAATAACTTGGTAGTTATAAATGATGAAAAGGATTGTACTCCACAACTCCAGGATATCCCTACTGATGAACATAGTGACGATGAGTTTGCAGATTTTGCTTCTGCCTCAGAACCATTGCAGTCCTTTTTCCCAGAGTCACAAACAGTAGAGAAAACAGCTTCTAGTAGTTGGGCTGATGTTCCAGTTCCAGATGCAGAAACTACATTAGATGAACTGGGAGATTTTGATGATTTTGAAACAACTGAATTTCATCCATATGAAATGCATTCTGCTGATGATAATGACAAGGTACTCAAATATCAGATTCTGCTAACTTCTGAGACAGTCCCCTTCCCCTCCCCCTGAAATCTAAGTACAGTATTCTTTCAGTTTCCTCTGACAGTCCCTTCCCTTGCTTCTGGACAATAAATGTAGATTTTTGTCTTCCCTTAAATGTTTGAGCTTATATAAATATTTTATCATCTTTGTAACATTCATTTGTTTTCCCAAAATATTATTGCTCATACTGTTATTTATAGGAAAATTTATTTTCTCTCTGTTAGATTAGAAAGAAGAAGTGACTGGATTTCTCTTGTTTTCCAAATCTAGGCATTTTTTACTTTCTGCAATGTATGTATTTCTATAAATTATACAAAGTAAGATTTTCCAAAAATTATGTTCACTACATCAAAGTAATTTACTAATGACACACAATTTTCTTTTTATGAAACATCGAGGAACAGCACTTCAAAATGTGCCTCAGTAGGTTTTTTCCATAATGAATTTTGGTTTGATGCTGGTGAAAACAATGTTACCTGAATATTCAAACTATTTTGTAGAATTATTTTCCACAAAATACTATATTAAATATTTGCTTATGCTGAATTTTGTAATAACTAAATGAATAATTCGTAATCTTCTGCTTTTAAGCCAGTATCTTTCGTCTTTGTAGGATACAAAAGCAAACACTTTATAGATGTTCTGTGGTGTGCAAATTTAATAGAGAAAATGTATTAAATATTTTTATAAAAATTAAACCACATATGGACAATTAATTCTGATATCAAAGTATTTACATCATTACTTTTTATGAATTTGATTGCTCTTATGTTGTATGAAAAATGGATTCAAGTTCCTGCCTTACATATTAAGTTACTAATGAGGAATTCCCAAGAGGATTGCATTTATTTGTACATGAAAAAAAGAACTATAATGTGTTGTCCTTTTTTTCAGCTGCTGGAAAGAATAGAAAGTTTGATTAAGGATTTGTTTCCAAATGATGTGGAAATGGCAGGAGAGATTTTTCCTGTTGAATCAGAACCATTAATGGAGTATTTGAATACTGTTAGTCCAGTCTGGGACAAACTTCGTGTAATTGAGAGTAGTCATGCTCTTACATATCAGTGGTCAGGTTCAACAGCTAACAAGGCTTTACTTTCATCTCTTGGAATAGATTCACGTAATATTGTAAGTTTTTGAGATGCATGTGCTTATGCTTGATTAATATCAGTACAATTATTTTGAGATTTTTATTGCATATTTTGTGTTTATTATTGTAGTTGTTTGGTCCACGCTGGAATGCATCTGTGCCAAGATTTGCTGCCAATTTGGGATTCAGTCCACTTGAACCAGTTCGTGCATCGGGAAATGGTGCTAATGCGCAGCCTTCACCTTCTGTTTCATCTTCTTTGAAAGAACCATCAAGGATCGCACCCACAGAGAGTCCTGAAACCTCTGGAAATGAGGTACATGTAAATATGAGATTGTACAAAAAGATGTAATGTGTGACAGTGTTTTGTACTGAATTCATTGTATAGCTTTTAAAGGGAATTCATAAAAGTATGTTAACATTCACTTTCTTATAAGGTAACACTTAATAATAGCCTTTTCAGTCTAATATCCAGTAGCAGGACTCAAGCCTTTCATCCTGCATTGTATGATGATGGTTATGATGAGTAATCCATTATCACTTCAGCTCTAGTAACTTTGTCTCTTTCCATACATTCTTCTTCCTATTTCACCCAAACAAGTGGGGGGGTGCCAGAGATTTAGTTGGAACTAATGCATCCTCTGAGTTAACTCATTATGTGCCTTACCTCTCCACCAAGCAGCTGCTCATCTTGAGCTGACTATTAATCTGTTGTCTGAACTTAATATTTACAACATACAATTTTCAAAAATTCAAAAAGCTCAAAGAAAATGAGACCTATACCATTCTTTGAAGCTTCCCTTGTTTTATATGTGGAAAGAATGGAAAGAAAACAATTGGAGCGGTTTATAGGTAAATTTTTTTTTCATAAATTTCTATAATTTCAGCCAGAAATTATGTCACTAACTACAAAACTACAAGATTTTTCAAATAATTGTACATGACCTTTTTCAAAGAGCTGATCTTTTAAAACAGATTTTGTTTAAAGCAAAAGTTTCTATCTCCTGTTTTGTAATTTTTAAATGTTAAAATTATGCAATATTCAAAAATAGAAGATTTTGAGGGAAATGAGACTAGTACAACTTTTTTTGAACATGATCTTATTTCAAGATCTGTCTTTGAAGAACAGATATCATGAAGAAAAAAAGTATCTTTAAAATAGCTATTATAGGAAGACACGAAAAAAAAAACACAACTTACAATTTTCGAAAAATCAGGGAGTTCAACGAAACTGAGACCAGCACCCTTTTCGCATCCGTTACACTATTGTAGGACAAATTTTAATTAAAAAATTTGGTGTCATATTGAGAAAATTTTGAAAATGTTGTACAGGCATCTTGTAAAGTACCCTGAAAACCAAGATATCCATTTCTAACTTGCCAAACCATGGGATTGATTAGATCAATAGGGGAATATCAATTTTGGAGAAAATGGTCTGAATGATTTAAGCACTAGCATTGGCCACAGACAGACGAACAGTCAGAAAGACTGTTTGCTGTCAGTTGATTTTTCGGTATCAAGAACACACAAAACGAGGATTCTGACTAAACAACATGTTAGAGGAAGTAATTTCCCATATACAGTAACAAAATGTTTCCACCTTTTTATCATCAGGGCCCAAAAATAAATTTTTCTGTGAAAATTTACTATTTTCAGTGCATGACTACAATAATTTTAATTATTATTCATTTACATTTATAATACTTCATCTTACAAAATATGTGTGAAAATTAAAATGAAGATTGTTGGATCGAAATGTTATGACATTACACAAGATGTGAGGACATTTTTTTTATAATGACCTACAAGTACAAAGTTATTATACTATTATAAAAGAGGGATCAATTTGTGTTACTACTGCATTTTATGGTAAATTATATGACTACAGTATCTCTAGTATTAAGAATTCTTCTTATCACTGTTTCAATATTCCTCATATAAATATAAGAATAAGACATACTTATTGTTCTTATAGTTCAAAATGCTGAGTTTCACTCCTAATTTCACTTTTTTCTCTAATGAAATTTTATTTTTTCAATATTTTTGTATTTTAAAAAAATATCAAAATTAAAGTGATCAGTAAATAGATGATAAATAATAATAAATCAGGACAGCCAGGACAAAGTTCAGAAATTAGGACGTGTCCTAATAAATAAGGATGACTGGTGATGTTAGTATATCCCAGAAAGCACTTTCTAGGCTCTTCCTTAATTTCATTCAGTTATCTAATTTTTTATTTTTGTTGTAATTGTCTGTTGTTAATTGGTGTTATTAAATACTCTTTTTCTATCATAGTTTAAAAAATATGGGTTGCTATGTGTGCATGAAGTTAGTTCTTAAAACAACGTTCATAAAAGTGCTTCCTGTTGGTGCATGCCCAAGCAGAACTCAAACCCATAGACTTCTTCTCGGGACTGCCATTGTACTCCACCCTAGTGCAGTTTTGAAAATATGATGGACACATTAATTTTATACCTGATCTTCATTGCTTGGCTTGAGCCAGTCACCGTTCCACTTTCTCAGTACTGAGTGTAATATTTTTTCATTGAGTGCCTCTAAGTAATACAGTTTTTATCTCTTCAATACCAGCGAGAATGAGTCAAGACGTTGAACTTTGACCTATAATTTTTTTTTATTCTGAGTTCAGAATATCAGGTGGCTAGATAAGATGTAGATCATTCCCGCAAATTTAGCACAGAAAAATGTTTTTCTTTTCTTATTAATGTAATTCAGAGAAAGTTATGTTTTGCTGCATAAATTTGTTCATGAGATTTTGTTGGAAATGCTTTGGGGGTCCCTGAAAACAAAAAGATGTTCAGGGGGGGTGCGGGCATGTGTGTGTGGGTGAGCGCGTGTGAGTTTGTGTGTGTGTGTGTGTGCGAGTGAGCGCGTGTGAGTTTGTGTGTGTGTGTGTGCGAGTGAGTGCACGCACGTGTATGTAGTGTTTTTTCGTTTCCTTTCTCTTGTGTTTTTCTATTATTTTCCTTTCCATCCTCTACTTTCTTCTTTTCTTCCAAACTTCCATGTGTCAATCCATCAGTGTATAATACTAGAACCTAAACTACATAATGGATCTTCTTCAGTCTATCTTATTTAACTTTTGGCCCAATGAAATTAAAAACAATCATTTAATTTTAAAAGATACTACTTTACCTGCAGCTATATTAACTTTTTAAAACTGTTTGGAAACTTTTGTGGTCTACAACATTGTGTGTATAAATTGTGAATTTTAAGAAGTGTTTACACACGAGCAAAATGTAACACTGAAGAATCATTTGAACACTGTTACTGTAACAAATAGATTCTGTTGAAAGTCATTTTAGTCTATAAATACAGGTTTAATAAACAAATTTTTGGCTACATATTCAGCAAAAAGTCAATTTTTAGATGATGATTGTAACTGGATATACTGGAAGCAGTTTGAGATTTTTGCAAGAAGTGGCTGAAATATGAATAAATGTAAGGGCAAGTAAGGTGCTAAGGCTTTGATGATTTGGTATGGTGTTTTTTCATGTTAATTGTCCTTTCCTCTAATAACATTTTACAAACTTTACTGGGAATGAAGAAGGCTAGAGAGCCAAGGCAAAAAAATCATCATAAATGGGTTGCAGTTGTTTCTCAAAGACAGCAATTTTTTTGTTTGGGGTGGGGTGCCATTAAGAGAATTCAACAATCATAGTATGTGGAGGAGGTGGGGGGGTTCTATTAAAAAAAATAATAATTGACTACTGTGCTTGGGAAGATCTTAAGAATACCTGCTGAGCAAGAAATAATATATTTAAGAATGATAGAGCAGGGCAAGCTGCTAAAGGGAATCGAGAGGAGTAGCCATTTAATAGCTTCCACTCAATGTACCTGGTTTACTTTTGATTGTGAATTGATGTTATGCAGGAAACTGTTGCTCAGAGAGATCTTCTGAGGTGTTCGCAATTAAACTTAACATTTGTATCAAGTGAAAAATATTTTTAAAAGAAAGCCTATTTCAAACTAAGTAGTTTCCATGTAATGTCTACATTGAAAATGCTGTAAATATGTACTAATGTACAAATAAGTAAATAATGATGGAAATATCAATTTACATCTTACATTATTTATTGTTACAGGATTCTGTTCCAGCTGCCCAGTTTGATTGGACTAGCAGTGGTTTGGTAAATCCTTTGGATTGTAAGTATTACTTTTGAGTTTGAAGTTCTTAGTTAATTCTTGGCAGAAACAATTTTCTCATAGTCTTGTTGTTTCTTGTTCTCTTGTTCAATTCTTATGTTAATGATGTTGAGATTTACGTTAATGATTCTACATGCATTCGATTCCATTGATTTCTAAGAAAAATACAGGACTTTTTATTTTTTAATTAAATTATGTTTGGTTTTTGAATTGTTCAATTTAATGATGCAAACTGCTACAATGAGTTTATTTTTAACATGAATATACTGCATATATATATATATATAGACTATTATAACCCTATTATACTATATATATACTACAGCTATATATATTATATATATATATATATATTGAAACCATTTTTGATTGCACTAGATGAAGTTCCTTTTACTGGAATACTTTCAGATTCAACACTTTTAAAAGAACTCACATTCATAGTGGTGGAAAAGTGTGGAGGCCATGGGGGAAAAAAATTATAGATAAAGAAATGAACATTGAAAAACAACATTTACTAGCATTACCATCTTCAGTTAGTAAGAAACAAATGTTTTCCACATTTGGACGTGTCCAATCAAAAAATAGAAATAGCATTGGAATAGAATAAGCAGCAAAATTAGTGTACTTTCATAAACAATTAAATAATTAATCAAAGCTCTTATAGTAAATTGCTTTTTAATAAATAAACACTTTCAGTGTAATAATTTGTAATTCTTTTCTTTGTCGCCTTAAAATTTTTAATCATTCATTGTAAAATGAGCGATAAATTAAATTTTTAATTTAAATTGTGATTTGGGGGGGGGGTAAGTTATTTTATTTAAGTCAATATAAATCACTTCATTTAAGTCATCAAAACCCTGCCAGGTTGGAAAAGCTTAACAGGTTCAAATAGTATAATAATATTACACAACCATTACAAATGATGTGAGGAAGTATATGATGTAGCATCACTAATTTTTTTAGTTTCTTTTCTTTTGTTATTATATTGTCTGTGGATTTTCTTGTTAGGTATGATTATTGGTATTCAGGAGAACATAAGTAAAGAGCAACTATTCTTTCACAATTCTGAGAAAGTTTAGTGGTTTTATCTATGTATAAAATAAAAATGAAATTGGATGTTTACTTGCAAGTAGTAAAATTGTACAACACCATACAAGCAGTAGTAGTCAAATACCGTTTGAAGTCATTACACTTTTTTATTCTGCTTTTGATTTCTGTATGTTTAAAATTATGTGCAGGCTGTAAATAAGTTTGTAATTCTCAAATTTGGTTTCACAATGCTATACTACTGTGACTCATTATGTGCCTCGATTCACAGAAATCATGAGGTTATCTGTTATTTTAGCAAAGTAATTTCCTTTCCAATTTCATTAATATTTCTAATTAAAATGCAAATGAAATGGATTTGCCTCATGTTGAGCGCATGATACTTAACATTGCAATTGCAAAACCCTATTTCTGTCAGTTCAAAATTTTAAGTGAGAAAAAATAGTAGTATTATTCTTCCCTTGATTTATTAATAATGTTGGGCATTATCATAATTGAATAAATGATCTTATTTTTGCTGGGGCTATAGAGAATAAAATATTGAAATTGATCCTAAAATTTAAGGATGATATTTCAGTCATAAAATCAGTTTTGAGGGACCCAGAGTTGAAAAAAGTAGATTTTATCTTCATGTCTGGATAAGTGGATGGATCTTTCAATTATAATTTAAGTTCATACAAGAGTTTCAAAATATCAAAAATGGCTCCAAATTTTTCTTTGAATTGAGGACAGTGCACTTATAAATATATTTAAAACAAATTTTTATTAAAACGAATGCTTGAAAAAATACTAAATATAACTTTTTTCTTACTCTGTTATTGAAAATAAGAGATAAGATTTATTAATGGATTATATTCTTCAATCTTTAAATGTATTAATATACTTTTTTTCTTCCTGCAAAATAGTAGTTTTCATGGAATTTTGAGACAATTGTGAAAAATATTTTAAAACATAAATTCTTAAAAGGCATTCTTTTTGCTTAAATAGAGCCCAGTGCACTAAATAAATTTAACATAAATTCCATTTTGGTTTGGATTTTTCAAACGTTACACATATGTAATACATTTGATCATTGGATGTTATATATCTAAATATCAAACAATGTTACAAACTCTTACAATGTTTCTCTGATTTTTTTTTAAATGGGTGTGTGTGTGTGTGTGTGTGTGTGTGTAGGCGTGTTTAAAGAGCACAGTTTCAGAAACACTTCAACAATATTTTCACAAACTACAGCTCAAAATATTTGTCTACATTTTTTTCTGTATGTGTAAGTTCTGCTTTTCTTTAATATTGGATTATTTCAATTAAAATGTTAGGAAATTAAAAATTTGAGAGAACATAAAAAAATATTTGTTCTTTGGTAAATAATATAATATATTATATTCCTGTAATGTAAATATTACAGGAAGAAAACCGAATCTTTGTTTTACTTTAAAAGATATCTAAATATTGTAATTACAACATTTTCTGCATGGTTAGTTAATTTTCAGGAATTTGGTTATTAATGAATGTGAGGGTGAACATTTTTATAGCTATAGAAACATTCGAGCATTGTTGCTGTGAAAACATTGTTGCATGTCATTTAAGTCAATGGATTCAGCATGGCTAAATGTATTGTTGGCTATATATGAAATGAAATGGTCAATCTTGTAAATTGGGTTATTGAAAATTCTAGATAACAGACATGGTGGAGCTATTTCAAGCACTTAAATGAAGAGAAACATGAAATATTAAAAGTACATCATTTGCATTTTAATTATGATTATTTGGTACAAACTTAATAATTCATGAAAATATGTGCTCCACCTGCATCCTAAGGTTAGCGCAGGTGGTGTGGAATTAGTTCTTTACCAAGTGTTACAAAATTAAAAATTGTTGCTTTAGCATTCCTTGCAAGAAATTTCATTATAAGAGCTAGTACTAAGAAATTTGATTTTCAAACCCTTTCTAATCCATTTGATCCTGGAATCAATGCCTGAGTTTGGTACAAAGAGTATGCAAGCAAGAAAATTCATAGGAGCAATTATCTGTTAAACCTCTGTGAAGAGCTTGTATCAACCCAAAGGTTTACAAAGTTCCTTGAGTTTCCAAGATATCTGTACGTACTACAGATATCGTGAGCATACTTTGTTGTTCTCACATTCAGAAATGAAAATTACCTGGAGAAAGACTATTCTTGTGAAAAATGTTCTCAGTCATTTCACAGACAATGTGTGTAGTACATATGAAGTTGTTAGTTCAAACGGTTGTCCACTTGTGTTTGTCACCAATGAGTACACAGAGAAGATATTTCTGTAAAAGCTTTTTTTATAATAATAGGTTGTTTATTTTGAACTGTGGGTAGAACTTACAATTGCTATAAAAAATTCTTAACAAAATCAAAGGTATTCAGGGAGTTAAATGTGTGTATGTTGTATAATTAATTTTCTATGTATATGTAATATTTATCTATTTAAAAAAATACAAAGTTGTTCATAATATTATCAGTAAATCACTCAATCCTCCTCCCCCTCCCCAAAAAACTTTACAATTTTTAATGAAAATAGTCTGCAATTAGTCCTGGGATATGTTTAAGGAAATTTGGAGGTACTAGGAGCTAAGAAAATTCCAGTCTGTCCAGTGTTAATAGTAAGGGTTATATTTTCCCTTGTTTGTAAAGTAAGAAGTTTGAATTTGTGAGTAGGCAGTATAATCATTATTGCTCTTTGATTTGTTTTTAGAAAAGCTACTAGTCTTTTAAGTTTAGTGTTTATCTCAAATTATAACATTAATTAAATGAGATCTGAAGAGAAAATTGTTTCTGCCAGTCAATTTAGCAATATTTAATTTGAATACAGTTGTTGAAAATTTATTATGAGTGTATATACATTTGTTAACACTAGTATATGTTTGTGTCTGCTTTTTACTAACATCATTAAAAATATTTATGGAATACTTGGCCATCCCAACCTGCTTGACTTGTGTCAGTTTAGATGAAAATTGTCTGGTAAGTCTACCCTTCCAAACTGTATTGAGCACAAAGATTTTTCTTTAGAATAAATGATTTATATTCTTAAAGTCTGAAACTGGAATCTTTCCTGTCTTTTCATTTGAATCAATAAACTCCCATAAATTTCAATTCTTTCTTAAGTCTTCTTTTCTCTTCATAACATATTTTCAAAATTAATTTTCCACTTAAAATTATAAGGAATGTATTATCAGAATAAAAGATGTACCTCTCAAACTTTTATAGCTTTTTCTTGGTATTCATTCTTAGCAAGTTTCCTTCTTATTCTTTCATATAAATTTATTATTATTAACCATCTATTATATGAAGGAATTGAGAGATATGAAAACATTTTAAAATTGAGATTTGAGAGCATTTAGGGGGTTTATTCCACCATAAGAGTTTTACTTCTAATAATTTTAAAGCAACGATACTATGATGAATTTTAAATAAATAAACATTTTCATGTGAACCTGTTGTTAATGTTTAAAGTTTTGTAAGTTCATGTCATTAATGCTTTAAAGTTTGAGATCTGGCTTTTCTGAATTCATTTTTTGTACTACAACAATAGTTGTACAAAATTTATGTTATACCGGTTGGATATTATGTTTTAATTTTTGGTTTTAAAATACATTTATTGCTTTTACAAGCAAAGTCAATTGTGTTTCCCCTTTGTTTTTTGAATTCCATTTCATTTCAGTTTCATCTTTTTGTTTAAAAAAAAATTTAATTTCTCTAAATGTGTGATACTCCCCTCCTCGTTTTGATATATATTAATATTTAAAAATATTTCATTTAAAATGTTTATTATTTATCATGCTAAATATATTACTTGTGAGCTTCTTACATTTTTAAGTGGTGACTTCTCTGATCTTAAACCTAATAATGCTTAATCCTAATAACCCCTAGTGGTTGATGGGTCCTAAAATAAACTTAAAATTACCTCCCATTGCATAGGACACTTTCG